GTTCACCTAAACTTGGAAGCATAGAATTGTCAAATGTCTTGGTCTGCTGAAGCATTAAGATTTCCCTTCACTGGAACTAAGGGGTCTAGGCCAACCCCTGAAAAACAACCCCATAGCCTTATCCCTCCTCGACCAAACTTTACAGTTGGCACAGGCAGGCAGGTAACATTCTCCTGTCAGTCGCCAAACCCAGACTCGTCAGACTGCCGGATAGAGAAGCGTGATTCATCCGGTGGCGGTATGCTTTCCACCAATCTACCCACTCTTTTGGCATTGTGCATTTTGATCTTAGGTTTATGTGTAGCTGCTCAGCCATGGAAACCCATTTTGTGAAGCTCCTAACGCACAGTTCTTCCAGAAGCAATTTGGGACTCTTTACTGAGCGATTTAACAGAGGATAGACACTTCAGCACTCAGTGGCACTCATGGTCTACCACTTCGTGGCTGAGGTGTTGGTGCTAATAGATGCTTCCATTTCATAATAATTGCACTTACAGTTGACCAGGGCAGATCTAAAAGAGCTCGTCAATGCAGCCCCTTCTACAGCCAGTGTTTGTCTATTGAGAGTAGACGGCTATGTGCTTAATTTTATCCACCTGTTAGCAATGGGTGTGGCCGAAACACCTGAACTCAATAATTAGGATAGATATATATATATATATAATATACACAGAGAGAGAGAGAGAGAGAGGTTTATTTTTTATTAATTAATTAATGTATTTAATCATTTTTTTGACAGCAATCGTCTAGTACAGAGACCTGTTTTTGTATCTCATCTCTTGTAATCTCTGCTTGTATTTGGTCTATAATTTTGTATTACACTGTATTATGCACAAGCAAGGCCAGTTTAGGGTCACCTGTAATATGATGCTCTTTTTTATTTTTAGAAATAAAATCATTGTTTTGACTGAACAAGCTGTGCCTTAAGATTGGGCTTCATGCAGTGGCCATTTTTTCAAAACGGTTTGCCTGAAGTTATGATCACACAACCAATTACTGCATTATATTTATGATCATTCTTTTCTCTTGCCTGACAATAAGTTGTAATCTAGCATAGCAGCAGCATCGGTATGTGTGCATAAGACTATTGTTCTTTGATCCTTTTAATGTGATGACCTGCTTTTGTCCATTATGTTTCATCAGTTGACACATAAGAGAGAGAGAGAGAAAGAGAAGGGGAGAGATGAATGAAGGCAGCCTCGGCAGTAACAAAGCAAACACCATGCTCAACACAGAGAGACAGAGGAGGGGAGGAACTAATGTCTGTTTGGATGGAGGAGAGAGCGAAGGAGGGGATGGGGGGGGATTAAAATCTGTGTAGGAAACAATCATATGTAAACAAAATCTGGTAGAGAAAGAGATCTCCCACCGCAACAAGAAAAGACGGATATGTTAAGAATAGGAAAAAAGGGAGGGGAAAAAACAGGGGGATGAAAGACATGAAGGGAGCGAGGAAGTGAGAGGTGTGGAGAGGAGGAGGTAACAGTACATTGGTTTACTGAGGGAGAGAGAGAGAGATTTGGAAGGGGAAGAGAGAAACACCAAAGAGATGTAAAAGAAGAATCACACAGACTGAATTAAAGTGAGTGTGATATCCAGAGAGAGGTGAGCGGGGGTTGAGGGAACTGGGGAAAACCTTGTATGTGCACTATGAGATAGTATAAGACAAAGAAAAAGAAGAATGCAAAAGGACATGGCTACGTGTTGGAGCAAAGAAGAAATCTCCCGTATAGAAGTGAAGCAGAGAGAGGGGGGCATGGGGTGGGGGGGAGTCAGAAAGGGAAGCTGGTCCTGCTTTCTTTTTTTGTGGAGATCAGACGCACTGAGCTCACATTCTGCCTGACGAAATCTGGCTGTATAAAACCAACCTACAAACTTGCTCTCTCTTTTTTTTTCAAACACACAAACATGCACAGTTGCAGACATTTGCTCCCTCCAGCTCCATCCTCATGCAGTGTAGCCTCTTGCTGCTCTTTGTGCTGTGTTCATATGGCAGACAGTGTTTCTTTCCTGCTTGCTCACTTTGCCAGAGGATAGTCTTCTCATTGTAGTATCATCCAGTAGACCACTTGATCCAGTAGACTACTCAAACTAGCAGCAGAGGCTAACCCAGCACACATAGTGTTGGGGTAGTTACTCAAAACAGTAATCTATTACTTTTGTCAAACTGTAACTACTAGGATTACTTGTTACTCACTGGAAGAAGTAATTGCATTACTCACTACTTCACTCCCAATTTACTTTCTAAAGTCCAAAGAGTGAACCCAGTGACCCCAAAATCATTGTAGTATTTTATTTTTATTTTTTGTTTATTTATTATTGTTTTTTTTAAGAAGGAAATAAGCAATCATAGTAAAAGGCACGTCTGCTCTGAACAAATTTATGAATATGAATTTGGCAAATGCTATTTGAAAATCTAGAAAATAGGCAGTAGAATCATGAAGCTGCTGCTTTAAAATATTATCTTTATGAATAAAATGTAAAGCTTACAGTGCTGTTCCTGAACAAAAGTCAAATCAGGCCTGTTTAGGTGCACTTGAGTCTTCCTTTTCTTCAGCACGGAGGAACTTTATCTTCTATTATGTTGCTCGTGGAGTTTACGGCAGTGTAAAGTTTTTGCACACACTCGTTCGTCATGTTCATAATCAAAGTTAGGTGATGGAGGCAGAATACGTGCAAATTGTATGCAGTGTATGTTTTAAATGCATTGCTCAAAATATTGTTCTCTTAAAATTGTAATGTGATTTAGAATTTGAACCCATAATGCGCTGCACTAATTTGTTACAGGAAAGAGTAATTACATTACTGTAATGCATTGCTTTATACCACATTTCCCCCACCACTGCCGAGTAGCATGGGAATGCACTGCAGGGTGACACAGCAGCACAGGCAAACACAACACTGCAGCCTATGCAGTGCGAGGCATGCATACGCAGATGAGTGCACAGCTGGAGCAGAGGTGGGGTTTGAGTAGTTTAAAATTGAGCGGGGAAAGGTGAACTGTGGCCATAAATGCGCTGGTGATACTGGCAGTAGTCATACACACAGGCAAGACAAAGAGGGTGAAAAATTTTTGCCTGAAGCTGTGGGTTATAAAATTGCTTAGGACTCGCTGTAATGAATTTCACCTTTTATTTGAGCAGTCTGTCACCATATAAAATAGGGAACAAATACACGAAATCAGCTTCTCTTCCATCTTAAATTTATTTGATCTCTGTGTTTACCTGCAATTTAACACTAATTTGCAAAGATCTGTGGCCTATAAGGAACCCAGTTTGGCATGACTGCTCTAATGTGTAGGCACCCTAACTGCATGGGCCAACAGAGCAGCATAGGTTAACACAGGCTAACACAGCTGCATGGGCTAACAGAGCAGCATAGGTTAACACAGTAGCATAGGGTAACAGCTGCATAGGGTAATAGAGCTGCATAGGTTAACAAAGCCTAACACAGCTGCATAGGCTAACAAAGCAGGATATGGTACCAGAGCAGCATAGGTTAACACAGGCTAACAGGGCAGCATAGGGTACCAGAGCTGCATAGGTTACCATAGGCTAACAGGGCAGCATAGGGTACCAGAGCTGCATAGGTTACCATAGGCTAACAGCAGCATAGAGCACCAAAGCCGCATAGGTTAACACAGGCTAGTACAGCTGCATAGTCTAACCGCAGTGTAGGTTAAAACAGGCTAACATAGGCTTATATAACAATTCAGTAGCACACCAGTATAATAAATGTTAATGATAAAATATTTTTACACTTAAATTCTTCTAAGACATTCATAAAACAGGCCAAAACCGATAGATGCCAGCTGATTGCTGGTTTACTACAACCTTTTCACAGCCTACATGTTTTATGTGCTTTCTGACATAAACCACATGAATGCAACCAACTTGAGTGAACAAGTTTTTCTTTGGGGAAAAAATGGTTTGCATTTGAAAGCAGTATTAGAACAGGGAAAACATTCAGCAATGCAAGGCAGGACAATTCCAGAGGAAGAGCTGGAACTAGCTGGAGTAACCTAACACAGATAGCACCAATGCATCCTGTGGCCTGCATCACCAAATCATGCTCCAGTTTGGCTACCAAGCATACTTATAACTGGTTAAGGGGCCCACTGGGATGGTCACCATGTGGATTTTATGAAGTCTTGAGGTGTTCTGTGATCTTGAACCCTGTTGCACCATGCTGTTAGCGTAATGTAGTGTTAGAGTACGAGACTGATGTGAAACATCAGCACTTTCTCAGCAGCTACACTTGGCTAAGGCAGGGTGAACTGGAGGCAGTGGCTCTCTTGGGGGCTGAGGCCTACTGGAGTGTCCCTCGTCCCTCTCTCTGAAGTGTGGGGTGGTGTGGAGGATCCCCCTGGTCCTTGTCTTGGGGTGGTAATGATGATTGAGAGGGGAGAGGGTGTGGTGCACTTGGCTGTGCCTCTTAGAGTAGAGGGTGTAATTGAAATCAATATTCTGCATGATGAGGTGACTCGCGGGGTTAAATCACAGCTCCTCCTGTCCCGTACTGCGAGGACCCCCCACCCCCACTGGAATGGGTTTAGAGGCAGCATCAGTCATAGAAAAGGTCCGGTCCCGTTTAAGACGGTCTGTGAGGGCATTGCTATGTGTGCGTGCGCCCGCGGTTCTCAGTATATCTCTACTCTTTCTTTCCCTCCTGCAGTTGTTTTCTCTCTTTTTATCTCCTCCTGCGCATCTCGGCTGTGTTTTATTTCTTTTTCGTCGTCTCTCTCTCTCTTTTCTCTCTCTCTCCTCCTCCGTAACGGAGAAACCGGGGCAGCCCGGCGCTCGGCGGGTTAACGCGCGCGCCGTCTCTCATTGGCTGAGCCGGAGGTAACCAGGCAACTCCAGCGGGAGGCGCGGAGGGAGCGCGAGGAGGAGGCGCAGAGCGCGCGCACACACAGTCCAGCATAGCGGAGCCCGCGAGGGGCGCGATGTAGCAGCACGCGCTCGGCCGCCTGGCCCCGGCATGGGAGATTGGATTAGCACGAGACCTGGAGAAGCGCGCGCACACGGTTCACCACAGCCGAGCATGGAAGCTGCAGCAGCACGCGCCACTTTCAAGGTAAGCACGGGCGCCTTTTGCTGCATGGGCTTTTTTTTTTTTTCCCCCCTCCTCTTCTCTCGTGCCGTGATCCTTGTCCGGCGCGAGGATGCACTACACCTCGCGCTCTCCGCTCCAGGACTACACATGATTTTAAGCGCCGGGATTTGCGACGCCTTGAACAGCCCTTATCAAAGCACTTAACGAGCTTCGCGAGCAGTTTTATTTTTTTGGGACACGAATGTGGAGCGCGTGCCAGAGGCACCGGCCGTCACGCGCGCACGGCTTTTGCTGCATCGACGTCCCTTCTGCGCTTTAAACACCGCAACCGGGGCACGCGCTGCGTCCAGCGGCACTGCAGCCGCTGACCGCTGGAGCGAAAAAGGGATTGGGAACGTGCGCGAGCTTGTGTGACACTCTGCAGGTTTCTATGTGCGCGTGGAGGCTGAGGATGCGTGTCTGTGTGTATGTGGATGAGTGTGTGTGAGCGCGCGCTGCTTGCCTTCTCTGGACCGAGCACGAGCAGAGTAGCGTGAAGCTGCGCGCGAGCAGGTGTCCGTTTAACTTTGATTTTCGCTTTTACATCGGAGAAGCTCGTGACGGTGCGCGCGCGTACCGCACCAGTTGGCCGGAGCTGCGCGTGAACCAAAGTGTGGTAGGAATGAAGCGGAGAGGGAAGCCGCGAGCCTGGCACTGACCAAAAGGGGTATAATGTGGAGTCAGGGGGGGAGGAAGAAGGTGGTGCCGGAGAGCTCGCGCTGTGCAACCTGAAGGACGGGGAGCGCGCTAAAGGCGGGAGCTTTTCGGCTCGCGTGCGTCATCACGACTTTAACGACCGAGACTGCCGTTTGATCTGCGTGCACTGATTCATGGCACACGCGCTCTATTAGGAGAGAGGATAATGAGCTCACCTTGCGTAACACAAACACACACACACACACAGTGTTTTCGGCTTATTTCATATAGTACCACTGTTCCTATGCCCCACTGACCCAGCTGCCATTACAAGCTCACTGGCTCCAGCTCAATAAAGCAGCTGTTACGCATGCTGTTTTGACCCCCGGCTTACAGTCATGACCATTAAGTTTCCCTGGTTTTGACCACCATAAGGTCTTTTTTGGCTCCCTTACACAAAATGTACTATTTAGTAAAAAAATGACTAATTTGTTTGTTTACTTGCCATTAGTATGCCTTTATGTAGCCCTGTGTAATGTGCTGCTGTTTTGTGTTGCACCATGGTGCCTGAAGAATGACATTTCATTCCAGTGTGTACAAGTTTTATTGATTAATGACGACAAAGACCACTTTACCACTCGTCTGAAAAAAGCTAATGCTCCCAATAGAGCTTTTTCGTAAGACTTTCAAGATTTTGCCATTTTTTTGAGAATTTTTATGGCCCCTCTGTGGTTATGCTACTGCTTCCCTGCCTCCCTAGTACTTACACCACTACCTCAGCTTACTGTCATGACCCTTAAGCTTGCCTGGTCAGTTCTTGATGCCCCCTCTCATGAGTCCAGTGTGGCTCAGAGGACACCTGCTCAATGGTTCCTCTTGGTTCCTCCCATTATTTCTTCCTTGTAGAGCTGTTTTTCTCCCACTATGTTCAGTGGGTGGCTCTGTAAAGCTACTTTGGGACAGTGTCTGTTGTGTTGTGCACGAATGCTAAAGTGCTGTACAAACAGACTTGATTTGAAATAAATCATTGAGTGCAGTCCTACACAGACCTACAAGTAGTCCAAATTTCAGACACAATTAAGCTGTGTTCAGAAGCACATACTACTATACTACACGTATAGACTTGTATTGTTGGTGTGTTGTTTTTGTACATAAGTAATCATGTTTTATAATGTAAATAGACTGTGTAGCCTGATATTGACTAGTTTGCATGTGTTTTAGCTCTGTTTGGAACCTCTAAAGCTACTGCATCTCTCTGTCAAGCACTTCAACTTAGAGTTCATCTTTTACACGTGGCGTTACGAACAGACTGCCTTTCTGCTAGAGGTTGCCTGTTGGCACGGCAACCCACTCTCACACCACCCGGCACTCGACAGAACCAGGCCGCAGCAGGGTTACCGCATTGAGTGTGCGTCCTGTGTTCTGGACTTTTCAGCGTGTATCGGCGGGAAGGCATCCCCTTCTGCCTGAATGGACCCAGCAGGCATCGGTGTGTCTCCATGGAGACGGAACACAGAGTGTGGGGGCCCACAAAGCCAACATTGTTTTGCTTTCCCCACCGCCTTCATTTATTCATCCTTACAAGCTCGACTTCATTTCTGGGGGCAATGCAGGACCAAGGCTACAGAGCTACAGAGTAGGGAATTGTTTCTGCTGCATTAGCGACTTAAGCAAAGAGTAGGCTAATGCAGTCTTGTTGCTTTGCTAGCAGCAGAACTTCCAAAACGAAAGTGGGGGGGTGGAAGAGTATGATTTTGTGTATTTCAGAATTTAAAGCTTGATCAGTTGTCTAACAGTGCTTGATTGTAGGAATTACATTTGAGAAAACAGGATAACCAGAAGACAGAGAGTGGTGGGCAAAAAATGGGGCCACACAAGTCCTGGATTTTAAAGCAATGGCCATGGGCCTTCAGTTTGAGTATAGTGAGAGGATAGTAAGTTAAAGTAGAAGTCTGTTATTTCTGTGAGTCAGATAACAGCTCTGATAGCCAAAAGGACATAAATGAGTAATGAAAAAAGTGACAAAGTTAGACAAGGGGGGTGGATGAAGGCTGACAGTTTTGTTGCTATTGCAAGGCCATGCTGCCTGGACCCAATACAATTGCAAACTACACTATATTTCTAAAGTTTATAGACACCCCTTCTAATTAGTATTCAACTATTTTAAGATTGTATCATGTTGTATAATCTCCATAGAAAAGCATTACTGATAGAATGTGATGCTCTTGCCTAAGGTTGCCATGGCCTAAAAGCAAGTGTTGTATTTGGGGTATAAAGCCCCTCAGCACTGGGCTGTAGAGCATGGGACTGCATTTTTGGAATGATGTTCCATCAGATATCCTGAGATAAGCTGCGGTGACATTTGTGATGCTAATCATCCAGCATCAGTACCTGACCTCACTAATACTTTTGTGGCTGAATGCAATCAAAACCTCACCGCAATGTTACGATATATAGCGTAAAGCCTTTCTATAAGAATAGAGGCTGTTACTGCAGCAAAGGAAGAACAGACTCACTCTTACTACCTTTGATTTCAGAAGAAATGTTGGATGAGCAGGTGTCTACAAACTTTTGGACACTGCGTGACCCCTTATACATTCTAAGCCTTATTATTCAGTAACTACATGGACTACATTGCAAATTCGCTGAGTTATTCATAGATCATAGAAATGGGTAGTAAAACTTTGGACCTGCTGGTGGGTCCTGGCCATTTGAGGGGTTAATTCCATTGTGAAGTCCAGGTATTGAAGATAGTGGATGCAGATCCATTGGCAGAACTGCAAACAGAATAAAGACTTCAAGCATAGCGCCTGAGGCTCCTTTTCTTTTCTCATTGGAACATCTGGAGCACCTGGGAAAAAAGAGTGCCACTGTCTGCTGGACAGGAGCAAAAAGATTAGCCATTTATTTAGCCACACGTCAGATTTCCAGACCTAAGCTAAAAGGAAATCCCTCACAAGCCCTGTTGGATGGAGCTGCCCTTTCCTGTTAGCTGTTTTGCAGACAGTTTGTCTGTCATAAATGGACATTTTGCAGGTTGTCTTATCTGCCTCAGTTATGTATTCCCTGGTGAGCTTACTGTATTTTTTAAAAAGTTCAGTGGGAAATCCTGATTTAGAGGGGAATGTCCTCTCTAAATCCGTCCCTCTCAGGAAGGAGGCATTGACTGCCGCTCCACATCCTCCATATCGATCTGTCCGTTCTGGGTGACATTATCTGCTTCTCCTAATTAGAGCTTAGGAATGCTCTCATCCAGCGGACAGCAGCCCACAAAGGATAAAATACTCATTTAGGATTCTCAGCCTCTGTTGAAGTCTAGTTGCTGTAATTAGAACCACAGGCTTACTGGCTGTAGTTTGCCTGGTAGATGTTTCTGTTTTATAATTTAGTTGTAAATTGCCACTGTCATCTTCAGTTAAAGCTTGTAGCCCTGCACTGCTGACACACAGAGAGCCACCGGGCGTGTGTTTCTTACGCTATTCATTCTGAGCAGCTCCAGTGGTGCTTGTAACCCTAATTTAATAATGGGTGTCGAAGCTAAAGGTTGAACTGTTCGGTCATCTCTTAACGCCAGCAAGCTGACTGGTCCAGTTTAACTAGAGAGGAGGTGAGATTGAGTTGTAATTTGATATATATGTGGGCGTTTGGTGAGGTTAAGGTGGCCCAGTGAGTGGGCATGTCTGTAGTTGTGAATGTGACAGTTCTCTGTCGAGGTGGACCCTCGGGTTAGGTTTGCTCTTATATGTACTCAGGTGCTTACATATATACAGGAAGGTGCAAAAGTCAGAGACTATTTTTCATTTATTTAATTCTTTTGTCAGTGGCCATCGTTATTCATTCATTTTCTGGACATATTTCTCTGAGATTAAATACAAAATAATCCACCTGCGTAGGGAAGGGAGAAATGAAAGTAGAATAAATAAAGAAACAAGACTTTCCCAAACGTACTATATTAAACAATAGAAAATGTGTCTCCTAATAACTGTACAAGACCTTTAAGCCCACCAGAACTGACACCATCAGATAAACAGCACTTAAAGCTTTCATCTTTGAGAGAGAGGAAAAAGTCAAGCTCCACTTTGCTTCAGATCTGAAAACATCTACAGGTGTTTCTGTCCATCCATTCATTCTAAAAAGAGAAAGAACCCAGACCCAGAGTCCAGACTTCAGCATCACCGAAAGTGATTGGGATTACTTGGATCATGAGAAGCAGAAGATGCACCCAACTTCTAAGACTGAACTTTGAAGATGTGAAAAAATATCACTGCAGATTTCTTTGAAAAACAAAAGCAAGTCTTTTGAAAAGAATGAAAGCTGTAATGAAGGCAAAGTTGGACATACTAAAT